ACACACACACACACACACACACACACACACATATATATATATATATTTTTTTTTTTTTTTTTTTTTAACTATGCCTGTACCTTTGCAGACTTCAGGCCCCTATCACTGTTCCCACCTTACGGCCTTTTATTAACTTTATAAAGGGCAGTTTCAACGCCCCAGAAACGGTACAGAGGGATTGGACAACATTGGGTTCTTAAATAAAAGTGTCATAGAGAGGGACATGTGGACAGAGGTACTGGGGACCTGAGTCACTCTAAGAATGGCAAGTCCCCCGGCCCAGCCGCCTAGCTAAAGCACGACCTCACCCCCTCAAGCTGCCAGGCAGCGCGGCCCCTGACGTCACCCCTCTGCGCCCTGCCGCTAAGGCGCTTCCGGCCGCGAGCCCCTGATGGGCGGGGCGGAATGGCGCACGGGAAGCCGCGCGCCGGAAGTGTCCCGGGCTGCGCGGAAGTTGCGGGGGCGGGGCGTGGAGGCGATGGGGGGCGGCGGCGGCGGCCGGCGATGAGCGGCGGGAGCGCGTGAGCGAGCCGGGCGGGCGAGGCTGGGGGGCCCCGGAGCGCGAGCCGCAGGGCGGAGGGCGGGGGCGCGAGCGCGGCGGGCTGTGGCGGCGAGGCGGCAGCCGAGAAGATGGCGGACGGCGACAGCGGCAGTGAGCGCGGCGGCGGCGGGCCCGGCGGCTTCCAGCCCGCGTCCCGCGGCGGTGGCGAGCAGGAGACGCAGGAGCTGGCCTCGAAGCGGCTAGACATCCAGAACAAGCGCTTCTACCTAGACGTGAAGCAGAACGCCAAGGGCCGCTTCCTCAAGATCGCCGAGGTGGGCGCCGGCGGTTCCAAGAGCCGCCTCACGCTGTCCATGGCAGTAGCCGCCGAGTTCCGCGACTCGCTGGGCGACTTCATCGAGCACTACGCGCAGCTGGGCCCCAGCAGCCCCGAGCAGCTGGCGGCGGGCGCAGAGGAGGGCGGCGGGCCGCGGCGCGCGCTTAAGAGCGAGTTTCTGGTGCGCGAGAACCGCAAGTACTACCTGGACCTTAAGGAAAACCAGCGCGGCCGCTTCCTGCGCATCCGCCAGACGGTCAACCGCGGCGGCGGCGGCTTTGGCGCGGGTCCCGGGCCCGGCGGCCTGCAGAGCGGCCAGACCATCGCGTTACCCGCGCAGGGCCTCATCGAGTTCCGCGACGCTCTGGCCAAGCTCATCGACGACTATGGAGGCGAGGACGACGAGCTGGCCGGCGGCCCGGGAGGCGGCGCCGGGGGTCCCGGGGGCGGCCTGTACGGGGAGCTCCCGGAGGGCACCTCTATCACAGTAGACTCCAAGCGCTTCTTCTTCGACGTGGGCTGCAACAAATACGGGGTGTTCCTGCGAGTGAGCGAGGTGAAGCCGTCCTACCGCAATGCCATCACCGTGCCCTTCAAAGCCTGGGGCAAGTTCGGAGGCGCCTTTTGCCGGTATGCGGATGAGATGAAAGAAATACAGGAGCGGCAGAGGGATAAGCTTTATGAGCGTCGTGGTGGGGGCAGCGGCGGCGGCGAAGAGTCCGAGGGTGAAGAGGTGGACGAGGATTGAAATGGGCAGCTTCCCCTACCGGCCTCCCCCACCCCATCATCAACCATACCTTGGCTGGAGAGTTCCCCTTCTTGCTCATCCCCAGTGAGCTAGTGGAGAGGGAGCAAGGGAGGCCCCAGAGGGAGAAAACAAACAAAAGATAATATAGTTAAGAGAAATAACCATAAGAGAACAGTCACGGACAATTAGAGAAAAGCAGTAAAGTTCCAAGGAACTGACAGCAACCTGCAAAGAGAGGACAACAGCATCTCCTCACCTGTGCAAAATAGCCTCAGCTTCTGTTGTTTCCCAACTGAGTTTCCAAATCCCATCGGGATAACCCTGGAGGGATAAATCTTCGCACATCTGGGCCAAGAAACACATCTGGGTTACCCAGATCCATTGATAACTGTTGGATTTGTGTTTTACCTGGGTAATCTGGTCCAAAAGATCTCTCCCGGCCTCACTGTTGCAGTCTCTATCCCTTCACCTCCATTGAAATCCACATTTTGAATCTAAGTCTTCGTGGAATCTTTGAGAAGACAGAGGCCTTTGCAGTTGCCGAATTCTGAGGGTACAGGTTCATGGAAAGGAATACAACTTCAATCATGGACGGGGCAAAAATGGTAATTCAAGAGGCCATTGGAGAATACAGAAACAAATTGGATCCATTTTTTTAAAAATGGTTTTGCTTGGAAGCTGGACCTAGGCCCATGTCTTTTCTTTGCAGAATTGTTTTCCAGGATGCAAATGGATTCAGATATCAATGCTTGAACTAGAATTCATTACTAAAATAGTTTTAAAGTTGGCAAACATTTTTCAAAGATAAAAGCAGTTTTACATTGGGGATTGCTGAGGTAGGCACAAGACAAAGTTGGGCATAAAGCACAAGGCAAACTGTTTGAGTGGATTGGTTGCTGCTCACTAAAGTTCTTCCCCTGATCTCTAAATACGGAGATCATTACCAAGAAATGGCTTAGGTATGAATAAGAGCCAAATCTCCACTGTGTGAGCCAGTGAATTATGGCTAATTCGGCTGTTACGGCCACTGGTTGGCTGGATTTTAAACCATAAAACTTGAAGATTACCTGCAAAAGGAACAGTGTGGCTATAAGCCTGAGCTTTAATGGAATATACATCCTCACGGAAAAGTTGGAAATAACCAAAACTGAAGTCTTAATTTACCTTCAGTTAATCTGTGGATTTGTTCAAATACTAAAGATCCTCAGGTCCAGAATTCCAGCATCATTTATTCTTTTAAAATAAATTTTTAAGAACTTGATCCATTGTATCAGTACCTCACAATCAAAGTTGGCAGATGATGGATGAATGATTCAAGCAGTGCACCCGGTGGAAGCTGAAATCCATCTGTGAATGGAACTGAAGTAAACGTGAACATGCTGACTATATCCTGGAAGCATTTTTATACCATCTTGAAATTTCAACAAACTGGCTTTTGCCAGTTTATCCAGCTGTCTTTCAAGAATAAAAGTTGGGGTTTTCAAGGATCGCCTCTTCTATATTTTAAATGGATTTTCAGTAGAAATGATTTTTACTAATCGAGTTAATCCCACCCCCATCAAAAGGTATTCCTAGAAGTGTCATAGACCTAGGTAACTTTGAATTGAATGGGAGCTAACCTTCTTTCCAAAGTTTTCAGGTATTGTTTGTGTGACACCTTCTCAACCAGGAGGCAAGTAACCCCACCTCCACAATCTTAGCATTTTTTTTAACTGCATGCCTGCCCTTTATTTGAGCTGCCTTTTTAATTTATTGCATATCCTTTTTATTATCTTATTTTGGTATTATTCAATCTATACAATCTTTTTGTATTTATTGGGAAATGAGTAATATACAAAAAGGTTTTCATGTATTTGTGGCTGAGAGGGTGGGAAATAATTATGTATATAAAATTAGGCTTTTTTAAAAAATAGACTGATGCAGAATATTGTTGATCTTAGATTTAAAAAAAAAAAAAAGTGGAAGAGCCACAAACATTGGTGCCCTTTTCAGACTATTTCTCTACTCTCATCATCCACAGTAGAATTTTTAAACAGATTTTTTTAAAGCTTTTCTTTTAAATTTTTCTCCGTTGCAAAGAATGTTTCCTAAATTGTATGGGAGCAATAGTATTTTTGATGTTTTAATGACATCTGTATACTTGTACTGTATTTTGTACTACAAGGCAGCTGTTTTCAATAATGTCCTGCTGTATTTACCTATGTGTTTTGAGTGTTTATTTCTTTGCTGCGGAGAACAAATTCCTAAATAGTTTTAGTAAAGGAGCTGAAAAGCTAGCATTAGGTTTGCAGAAACTGTTTAAGTTTCAAACTCTGAGGCAGCAATGAAAATTAAGGTTGCAGCTATTAGTTGATTGCTGTAACTTTTTCATTTTCAAACCATGTACAATTCCTGTATAGACCAACTTGTTTTCTTGCTTCAGTGGTGGTTCTGTTGCTCAACTGCAGTGAGCCAGTTCAATTTTGCAAAGGTGCAGTACCTCTCCTTTTCAAGGAGTTGGTTTATTCTTTTTTCTTTTTGTTTGGCTGAATTGCAGTAACTAGCCTTGCCTTTCTATTCTGTAGAAATGACAGGGTCTTCACAATCCTTCACCAGTGGCTACCAAGCTATAATTAGCTGAATAGAAAGAATGTGGAAGTGGTCTGAGGCATATAGAGTATATGCCAAGAACACTACCATATATGGCATCAGCTTTGGTTACCAGAGAAATTTTCTTAGTCATTAGACCATATAACAGTAATATATCATATGTAAATCTTTAGATGTCAATTTGAGAATCCTCCAAAAAAAGGAGCAAAGAATGCATAAGCTATGTGTTGGCAAAAGTAATTTATATTAAAACTTTGACCTGCCTATGTAAGATTAAGTGGTAAATGTCATAGTGGTGGGTTTTTAAGTCTTAACCAATCTCTAAGGTTTGTTCCTCCTGCAAGGGGTGGTTCATGGCCTCTCTTCCCACTGCAGGAAGATGCAGAAGGATGTGGATTAATTGTAGCGTTTCATTGATCCTCATTCCAATCACTAGGGACAATAGAAATCTGCAAAGCACAGAGATTCATTCATAAATATCAGCTTACTAAAGGAAATGGTCTTTGTTAATTCCAGTCAGATAATAGAATTGTACAGACTATGGGAAACAACCAGTTTTTTTGTTTTCTTTCTCAGCTGCTTCTGTGAACGATTTAGAGCTTGTTTTTTAAGTTTGGCAAACATCCCAGCTAATCAAAATAGTCATATTTTTGAGAAGTGGGGAATTAAAACCCCTTTTCAAATAATTGGTGGAAGGTTTGTTTCTCAAACTACCATAGTTACAGAGATGAGAAGTCAAATTTTAGGAAGAGAATGAAAAGAGCAAAAAATCTGTGAAGAGATCCTACTACTCTTTCTGGTTTCTATTGTCCCTATCTATCATTTCAGCAAGTGGAATGGTAGTTCTAGTCAGCAAATTTTTCAGTGCATATGCTGCACAAAACAATATGTAAATTTGTATGACACCAAAAATCAAAGTGAAAACCAAACCAAAAACCCAGACACCCTATGTAACTATTGGAGGCATGTAGGTGGTATAAACGACTGTAGCTGTGACACACATACGGCTACTTGTCACGTCACTTTCCATAATTATTTACTGCGAAATGATTGAGAGGCTTTTGGTGCAGGCAGCCATTAACCTCCTGCTTCCTTTGTTACCTCTGGATCACTTTGCAGTAAATTGCAGGTCTTTTAAGAGATTCAAGCTTCAGTTTTCTCAAAACAAAACAATTATCCTGTCTTATCTGAAAATAGCAGGGTTGTGGGCAAAAGAGGCTGGTTATAATAATGCCCTCATATTGAGTGGTCTATAAACGGCTGCACACTTCAGGCACTATAGTTACTGAAGATGCTTTGTTAAATGTGACCTTCACTGGCTTTACGGGGGTGTAGAATGTAATCTACACAAGGTGACTTTGTTTGCATCTATCTTGCTCTTGAGGTGGATGAAATTAAGGAGAAGCTGGAGTGTGTAAGCCATGCACATAAGTATTCTTCACTGTAAATTTTGTTTTCATTTTTAACCCAGTTATGGTACTTTGTCCAATGCACAACTGATCTCTCAGTAGATATTCATTTGAAAATAGTGTGGCCTTGATCAGTGAGAAGGGAAAGGAGAGAAGTGACTTTTTTGCTTATGTAAAAATGACTTGTTTGCTGAGAGTTGTCATTCTGCAGTACTCCTAGTCTAATGTTTGTGATCAGTGTCCTTTTTGATTTGGGGAAGTTAATGTTTTTGACCCTGAAGTTAATTCAATTGAGTTATCTTCTATTTTTAGGAAGTATCAGAATTGCTCTGATGAATAACAAAGTTGACTGCTTTGATGTTCAATCTCAGGTTTTAGAATATAGTGGTGTAAAATCCCACTATTATTAATTCTTAAAATAATTTTAATTTAGTACACCCTAAAAGTCACGTGCAAAAGGCCTGTTCAGAGAGCAGGGCCTCCATCTTTTTGCTCCTTTTCCACTTTGTACTTCACTTGAAAAAGTGTCAAGTGATTTTACATTGTATATTTCCATTTTAACCCTGACATATTTCTCAAAGATAAAGCACTTTTTGATCATGAAATACATAGAATCTTTGTGTGATGTGGATCATGGTTTCTCAGGCTCCCTTAGATAATCTGCTTATGAATATTGTTCTAACTCTGTAAGAAGAGTAGAAATCTTTGCTAATGTTAGAAAGTTTGTATTATTGATCCAGAATGCATTTTGCTAGTTTCCAATGGATGGGAGAGTAAACAATGCTGCATTCACAATTTAATATGTTACTTTCCCTTGAGCCTTAAGGTAACTTTCTTTTCTGTCAACAACAGCACTGAAGTTATAGTAAATGAATGAGATTATCAGTTTTCAGGGTTGGTTTTAGAGTACTGTAAATCAATTAGCTGTCTTCCTAAAGAGTTACAACTCCAATTCAGTATACTGGATTAATGGGTATGTGGGTGGGGCTGGGGCGGGGGTGGGGGGGAGATAGTTTGTAGAAAAGAAAAAAGAAAAAAAGAACCATTTACCTTAAGAAAATACAAAAAAGAAAAAAGTGCATGTCATGTGCTCCGTTTGAAATTCCAGATGTAAAGTGGAAGCGGCAAATTATAAGTTCATTTTTTCCCTGTTTTTAACTTAGAAAAACAAAGTCATTAATTTTCAAATATTAGCCCCCAGAAGTTTCAAGAGATAGTTGGACTCTTGAATAATGAGTTCTATTGATATATCTGACTTTGCTATTTAAAGTCATCTTTCCCAGCCCTCAGCCTTAGAACCTAGTTTCATTACTGATGGATTTAACAGACTCTTACTTGAACAAATGTGGTCCAATTGTCAGTACTGAAAGTTAGATTTGGAAAATGAAAAGATAATAAAATTGCATTGTGAAGACTTATTATTACCATAGTAATTCCCAATTAATATCTGTACCCCTGATCCAAGTAAGGCCTTTATGAATGTATTTTATATTTCCTAAAGAAATAGGGAATATGCCATCATTGTAATCACCTCTATTCACAATCTTTTACTTTCATTTGGAAATCTAACTCAAGCCTCTTAAATTAGACATTCCAGTTGGGATAGGTAGATCCATGTTAAAACAGCAACTGCCATATTGGTAGTTTCACTGCTCAGTACGACTTCTGATAGAGAGCAGAGCTTTATTAGAAGCTAAAACTTTATCATTTTTCTCCATATGATTCTAACAAACAGTTTGACAAAAGAGTATAAATGTACTTTTAAGTAACATGAGATTCTGAGTCTAGGAACAAATTTCAATTTCCCTTATATCTAATGTCCATTAACATGATTAAAGAGGACTAATTATACCTTTTTAGTATGATGAAACGTGGGCCCAGAGTATTGGAGAGAAAGCAATAGACCTATTCAGTGTCCACTACCATATTGCAGAAGGCACGAGTTTGTCTTTTTTCCCTGTCAATAACTCTTCAGTAGTTAACTCAAAATTGATTTAGACCATCTCTTATTTCTTAAAGGCAAAATATTTCATCCCCATTCTTAACCCTGTGTTGTAAGATTAAACTGGTTAGAAAAAAATCTTTATATTTGGAAGTAGAGTTGCAAGTGGTTTATTTCTTGCCTTTTGAAATTCTTTTTTTAGAGACGTAACTGCAGGGACAGTCCCAAGAAAATTGAAGAACTGGATTATATCACTGAACACATTTGTGTTGTAGGAATTTGGGAGTTTCATTTTGAACTGATAAGGTATTAGGCATAAACCCTTTTCTCCCAGCCCACATGTCACCCTGTATACAAAAGCTCTCTGGATTCCTAAAAGTCAATAGATTGGGCAAACTGACTTTAAATCAGTACGGGACATACTTAAAAGAGTCCATGGTTTTGCACATTTTGGTAGCAGACAAGTATATTTGACTTATTTTCAATGAATTGTCAATATTTGAACAGTAACTAAGATTGTCATTGTATTTGGACTTCTTTTTCTGAA